TGTGCCGATTGACACGAGTGCCATTCATGGCGATAAAGGAAGTGGAAAAGAGGCGCGACGTTTTCATCTGTTTTTCTAATGCTCGCCAATCAAAGACCCTTCTGTTTCCACAGCCGGGAAAAAATATCCTTTCTCCTTGGTTCTACCACAGTGGCGACTGTTTATTAAAATCATGTGACAAACACTATAGTCGAATTTACGTCACATACCAATTATTATATGTAAATCTTTCTATGTATAAATATTTAACCCTCACTTGGTATCGTGGGGGTATTTCCGACAATAGGCGAGTCGACTATTTTTTTCTCATTCCTTGAATAGAATCATCACTCAAATACCTTTTACTATCATATTTTTTAAGGATTTTTCGGGCGATTTTCAGGAGGTAAAATCATCAATGATGCCAAGGTAATTCTCAAACGGCAAGAAATTTACCGCCAGCAAAAAATAACGCCACGATTTCATAAGTAGGGACAGACTGTTGGATTCTGTCCAAAAAAGGGCAATTCGTCTCGTGGGTGATACGTATACGTCGAATTTGGTGAGGTCAGCTTTTATGCTGTTTCGTTATTGGTCAGATAATCTTCCATTTACACTCATAAAGCAAGGTTGTCAAGTCACCAATTTTAATCAAGTTATCAAAAAGATATTAGAGTCCTGTCGTTGAATAAAACATAATAGAAGGAACCCATTTTAGTTCATTCTTGCTTGACTTTCTAGAGCAACCAACATGACCAAATTTTTCTTATTCTTCATAACAATATATCATGAAAATGTTGGAGACTCCGCAATGTTGTGCTGAATGCTGAGAACTGACAAGTCTTCAAGTCGTGTACCATGTTGCCACGTTCACCGATTAATATGAATATCATATATACAAATTTATCATAAACAATAAGCCACAAATCAGAAGGAACCATTTTGAGACAGCTGCATTTTTATTGCTATTAGGAATATTACCAATACTCAATTGAGAATTATTGAATAACTAATATTTCTGCATTCCAACACATGGCAACTGTGCTATATTCTTTTTTTCAGGGTGGCCAGGTAGCCGTGCGGACAGAGTGTCTATATTCTAATCCGCATTCGCTTGCCGGTCGTGGGTTCGAGTCCCGTCGACTGCAGAAATTTTTCTGATGGCCAAGAAAGTGTTTGGGATCACACGTTAAAAGGTAAGGCCCCCGTCATTCCTTGCTCGCACAAGACTCTCGAAGACTTCTGAAGGTTGCTCGTAAGGGGGCAACCGAATGACGGATAGAACAATTTTAGAACAATTTTTTTATGTTCTGGTTACCACGAAAAGGGATATCCTGTAATGTTCAGAGAACATCTTCAGAATCAAGGAAAATAAGGTAGGAATTGGTGTTCTTCTTACAATAAGTAGTTTTTAAACACAGACGGAGGGTTGAATAGATGTTTAATCAGCAGCGAAAAATATAACGTCTTACACTTATCGTAAGATATAACAACTGATTAACGTTGACTACACTAACAAATTTCATTTGTTCCAATTTCAGATTTTTCTCACATCGACAAAATAGACATACAGAGTCATGAAATATAGAAAACCAATATTCAATAGTTCTTCTAAAATTTATGGAGGTTATATGCCTCGAGGAACCCCTCCCTTAGCAATATGTTCCAGAGCCCAGCTGTTCGTTGGATGAACGAGTCTTTGGAAAGAGATGTTCTGCACGTCTCCAAAGTGACCACGAAGGGGTGCAAAGCCTCAACTCGACGGGTTAATCTCGCGGGGACTGCCAAGGAAGGAACAATTATTGATATTTCAGGAGAGCATGGTCCATGAAAATATTTATAAAATAGAGCCAGATCGCCAAATTTTCTACGGTGTTCCAGAGAAGTGAGTGAGTTTGTGACCGAGGCATTACCCACGAGACGAACTGTTCTTTTTTGGACAGAATCCAACAGTTTCAGGGTATGTTTGGGTGCTGCACTCCAAATATGGGAAAAATATTCCAGGACAGGTCGGGTCTGTGCCTTCTAGATTATAAGCAGCTGACTGGAAGTGAAATAGCTCCTGGCCGGAAACAGAAAACCAAGTTTTTGGGATGCACTTTTAGCAATTGATCTCACGTGATTTTCCCAAGAAAGGTAATTGCTGATAGTAATACCAAGCATCGAAATGGATGTCTTCAAAGGTATAGTTCCTCCTGACAAGCTTATGTTGGGCACAGTGAGATTGGCTTTTCTAGAGAAAAGGCATGCTTGTGTTTTGTTTGCATTGAAATCTACCAAGTTATTGGATCCCCATTCGAGAATTGTTGTCAAGTCCATATTTAGCTGTCAACATTTCTCCCTCGTTCGTTTCTGATTTGCCTGGCTGGTATTGGAGCCCTGGAAGAGAAGGTGGTATGGAGGGTACTATCATCCGCGAAGCTGTGTACTGGACATGGAGTTGCTTCCAACAAATCGTTGATATGGAATAGAAATAGTGTTGGTGCTAGAATTGATCCTTGCGGAACACCAGCATTTATGATAAGAGGGTCAGATGAAACTCCGTCGATCACTACATGGAGGGACCTGTTTGAGAGAAAACTAGCTAGCAGAGAACAAAGCCGGGGAGGCAAGCCATAAGATGGAAGCTTGGCGAGGAGTCCGTGGTGCCAGATTCGATCGAATGCCTCGGAGATATCAAGTGCCTCGGCTAAGGTTTCACCATATTCTTCAATAGATTGCTGCCATATATGTGAGACGTAAGCGAGCAGGACACCGGTTGATCTCTGATGGCGGAAGCCAAATTGCCTATCGTTGATAATACCTGAATGTTCCAGGTATTTCATGAGCTCGATGTTGATAGCTTTCTCCATGATCTTTGAAATAATAGATAGCAGTGCGATCGGTCTGTAGTTGCTACTTTTTTTCAATACTTTCACCCAATTAAGGGGTTCAAACTTGAACGATGGATACTTGTTATTTATATAGACCTCAATCGCAGATTCATGATTAGGTTTTCTCAGTGCAAAATCTCTTTCCACGTCCTGTATGATGAATATCAATTTATCATACATCCAAAAACAAGAGTCACCTCTTTGTAGAGGTAACGAATTCAAATCGAATTTCACGCACAATCAATCCAAATCGAGTGTAGCTCGTCTGGATCGACAATCCACCAATTGAATGATTCGACCCGACGCCTCCTCATAATCTAGACGGCGTTTAGAGTTTTTCAGCGCATTATTCGGAATAAATCAATTAGAGCTTCGATTCCCAGTCTACATCAGCTTTCCTTTTTTGAATGGCATTACAGGATTTTGGGCATGCACAATGATAATTGACTATGAAATTCATATTGTCGTTCGCTTCGTCGCCGCTTTGTGAGGAATAATCGGATTCCAACAAAACTAGATCTCATAGAAACTGATTCGGAATAATTGGGTGGATGCAGTGTTGCCGTTTTATCTATACTAACTACCGAAACTACTGGATCGATTTGGTTGGAAATTGGTAGGGAGGTGGCTTAGAACCAGGAGAAGGTTATAGGATACTTCTAATCCCCGTACCATTAGGAAATTTAAGATGGCGGATCTATCTAACATATCGGTACAGTTTTGTAATTATGGTCTGATTCGATTCAAAATTGGTATCTGGGGGTTTTCGGGGTCGAAGATTTTGATTCTTCCGTCAGAATTTGAAACTTCAGGAGGAATTTGGAAATTCAAGATGGCGGAACCAATATGGCGGACGAGGTTTGTAATTATAATCCGATTCTTTTCAAAATTGGTACCTAGGGATTTTCGTGATCGGCGATTATGATTCCTTTGTCGAAATTAAGAAAGTTGAGATGGTGGACACAAAATGACGGATAATTGTAATTAGGATCGATTCAATTCGAATTTGGTATCTGGTGGTTCTCGGGGTCGGAGATTATGATTCTTTTGTCGAAATTTGGAAAGGGCGGGATTTGGATTCAAGACGGTGGAACCAATATACCGAACGAGTTTTGTGATTATATACCGATTCTATTCAAAATTTGTAAGTGGGCGTTTTCGGGATCAAAAATTATGATTCCTTCGTCAAAATTAGGGAATTCAAGATGGTAGATCCAATATTGCGGACGAGTTTTGTAATTATGTTCCGATTCTATTCAAAATTTTCATCTGGGGTTTTAGGAGTCGGATATTATGAGTCTTTCGTCAAAATTGCGAAATTCAAGTGAACTGAAAAGGAGTTAAAATAAATGGTAGTTTGAAAAACTGAAGAAACGCGCTTTTATAGATAGCGAAACTAAAAATGAAATAAAAAATGAAATAATAATAGTTTCTTGATGAATATTGATCTGAAAAAATATATTTTAGACATAATGTATATAGCAAAACAACGTTTGCGAGGTCTGCTAGGGTATAATAATACAAATTATGTATAATTTGGAGGACTGTGTATAATTGTATGTATATCTTTCGATTTTATATACAGGGTCACGGTGGATGGCCTATTAGAAGTATCTGGAGAACGAAAAGACAGAACATTCTGAAAATTGGGATGCTTTGATAATTGAACAATCTCTATTCGTCTGAAATGTTTTCATCGATACAGTGTTGCCACTTCTATCAGAAACAACTAGCAACTTTGTTATTTCAAAAGGAATACCCTGTATTTTATTGCATTTTTAGATTCTTCCTGAGGAGCTGATTTCATCGATGCATCATACTTGGAGTCAAGCAGAAATGAACACCCTATATCTCTGTAATCATTCCTGCTAGACCCCAAGTGTGATGCATTGATAAAATCAGCTCTTTGGGAAGAATCTGAAAATGCAATAAAATAAAGGGTGCTCCATTTAAAATAACGAAGTTGCTAGTTGTTTCTGATAAAAGTGGCGACACTGTATCGATGAAAACATCTTAGAAGAATAGAGAATGTTCAATTATCAAAGCATCCTGATTTTCAGAAAGTTCTGTTTTTTCGTTCTCCAGATACTTCTAATAGACCATCCACCGTGACCGACCCTGTATAATTAAATATCTTTGCCCACTCACCTCCATGACGTCGCTGGTGAGCCGGATCATGCGCGTCGCGTCGCCCGCGTGCGCCGTCGTTCCGTCCGGCCCCAGCTCGACCAGCACCGGCGCCGACTCGCCCGCCCGTCCGCCCGAACCGCCCCCACCGCCCAAGCCGCCCCCGCCCTGCGCCTGCTGCCCGCCCAGCGCCCCGGCCGGCTTCTTCTTGCGCTTGCGCGGCGCGCAGTCGGCCGGCCGCCGCCTCACGTGGAACATTATCGAGCCTGAAACAAAATAAAAAGGGGATTTGATTATTGATATCATTATCCTTATACTTATCAGTATCATTATCTATAGCATTATCTATATCATTATCTATATCATTATCTATATCATTATCTATATCATTATCTATATCATTATCTATATCATTATCTATATCATTATCTATATCATTATCTATATCATTATCTATATCATTATCTATATTATTATCTATATCATTATCTATACCATTATCTATATCATTATCTTCAGTGTTACCCACTTCTAATGGAAACACCCCTGTATCTTACGAAATCGTTGGGTGAGGATCCTGAAATTTTCTGGAGCGAGAGATATAGCAAAAATGCACTCTATGACCAAGTGCGGTCATCTTCAGTGATATACACTGCTTGCCAAGAGGCATGGAACCACCCCAATTTCCGGAAAATGATATTAGGAGTCAAAATAGGTCGAAAATCACTTCAGATTTGGAATCAGGACGCCCAATTCACTAAATATTCATATTTTTCCTGGAAAATTTTCAGTTTAGGAAAAATTTTGTCGCACTTTTTACGGAAGCACCCCCTAGGCACAGCTCCCCTGTGTAACTTTGGTCTCTTGGCTTTTCCTCACCCAGCGTAAGGAACCATGGTCTTGACCAGCCCTCAGAGTGGCAGAATATGAGTACTGCTGTTTCCTCCTCTTCCTGACAGAATCTGCACAGCAGTTCTTCAGTCAGGCCTATCGTATTCATGTGTTTGTTGAGCCTACAATGCCCTGTGAGAAGTTCCACTAGCAGTTTTTCAGTCAGACCTATCGAACTCATGTGATTGTTGAGCCTACAATGCCCTGTGAGTGAGAAGTCCCACTAGTAGTCTAGTTGTACTTCGTTTCTAGCTCAGTCACAGTAGGTATTCTGTGAATGTTGGCGATAGTTTTTTAATACACTATTTTTCCTGTCTCATTCCTGACGAGTTGGCAGTCATGATTTGATACTCGTTTTTTGTATAGCTTTCAGAACACACAAGGGTTCTGGGCCATCCAGAGCTTTGTTTGCTCCTGCTCGGGCAAGTGAGTCTGCCTCTTCATTGCCGTCGTACCCTGTATATGCTGATACCCATGCTAGAGTCAATCTGTTCGGACTGCCCAGTTCATTTAAGGTTTCTAAGCAGTCCCATACTAGCTTTGAGTTAACTTGCATTGAGTTAACTGCTTTGATTGCCGCCTGGCTATCCGAATAGACTGGAATGGTTTTCCCTTTAAACTCTTGCCTTATCAATTCTTTTACGCAATGATGTATTGCAATAATTTCTGCCTGAAACACCGTCGCGTATTTGCCGAAGATCAGTGAGATTTTTGTCTTTGATTTGGTCCCATAAATACCATCTCCTGGCCCTTCCTCTGTTTTGAAGCCGTCCGTATAGACAACAATGTCTGCATTGATAGGAGGTCCTTCCTTCCATGCCTCTCTGTTCGTTATACGTATTTTAAAAGTTTTTCCAGAGCTATATTTTGGAATTATGCCATCTGTTGGCATTCCCATAATGGGGTCGCTTTCCAACTCTTCATATAGCTTCCTGTAGTCTTTACCGTGCGTGTTGCTTATGGGTGCTTGACCCCTGGACAATCTACTCACGACTGCTCTGGCTTCGCCTTGAATGTATATTTGTAGTGGTGGCAAGTTCAAGAGGACCTCTAAAGCGGCTGTTGGAGTGGTTTTCATTGCACCAGTGGCGCTCAGGCAAGCTTGCCTTTGAATGGCACTGAGCCTTCGAATCACTCCAGCCTGTTGTGTGTTTGGCCACCAAACTACTGACTCAGATGCTATCATGGGCCTGATGACACTGGCATAGAGCCAGCCATATGGTGATTTTTGGTGGCAATCCCCAATTTTTTCAGCACATTCGTCTGCACAGATTGAAGGCTACTGTACTTCTTTGGCTGTAGTTAGCTTTATTTATTCGAATGTGATATTCAATCTACATATGAGTTCCCCAATGAACCTATACCTAAATATTATACGGTATCAATAAGTTGAGGTCTGATATATAGCGATCGCTCTTCGAGAAATTATCTAGAGAATCATTCAGGGAGTATTAGATTTCTCAAAATTGATGAGGTCAAACCCCTCAGATTATTCTGTAATTGATACTTCTTCATTTCATTCCAAGTGAGGGGTTGTCACCATGTTAGGAACGTTAGCGCATCTAAATCTCTGTGTGGACATGATTTCGCCTCTGTCTAAAGATAATATCCGATGGAACAGTGTACAACTCTCGGTCAAACTCATATGGACACTGGTCCATCGGATATTATCTTTAGACAGAGGCGAAGGGGACATTCTAACCTTTTATTTGCTTATTGTTTCAACTCGTTATCACATGACGGAAGTATGTCCGGAATAAAAGAGAGGTATTTCAAAACATAGTTGATAGATACAGCACAAGAAAACATTACCATTTTCAATGTATTACTCTGGATAGTCTGGATTACTGAAATCGACTGAATGTACTATAAAAACTTGATAATATAACCAGAAATGTCAATATTTGATTGAAAGTACTATCGTCGACTATACAGTGAGAACCAATAATCTATAGCCCCCCTCAAAGCTTCTTCATTTTACTGATTGAAAAAAACAGTTGAATGCATAAGTTGTAGCGTTTCATTCGAACTATTCAATAAGTGATTTATACGGAGTGTCTCAGAAAAGCGCAGCGACTTTCAGATTATACGACAAATTAGAACAAGTTTGATGGATTGTTTCATACCACAAAAGTTGATAGTGTTGAAATTATGAAAAATTGAAAATTATTATTTCGACTATTTCAACACCAGTTCAGTGGGAAAACCGTCACAAATGGGACACAATGTATTTCACCTTCCTATCCTAACATTCTGAAAGTTTTCAACATTTTTTGTAATGTAAAAAATAAAGAAGTTATGCGAAAGGGAGCAATGGACTTTTGGTCCTCACTGTATAGTATTGTAATGATATTCACCTTAAAGGTTCTATAGAACATCATCAGGACAGGAAGGCAGGGGTACAACGATCACCCAGTAACACGCGTCCCGGATCACTCTCGAACATCCCTATGATTCTTACATGTAACAGCGTATTTCCGAACACCCAATATGTGTCACGGCGACACCTAACCTGACAAAAGAATCTGGAATCATCTCGAAACAATCGATGGAACAATTAGAGAGAGAGATTGTTATAGAAGCTTCTAGAACAAAAGAAGGGTACGGAAGATCATTCGAGAACGTTCGTGAAGCAAAGCCTGCCAAGGGATCTGATATATAAGGACGGCCGGATAACTGTCGTCAGTCAGTCAAGCAGCGAGTGTCAGAGAGACAGTCAGATACCGCGCGATCTAAATCGTTTTACATCAATAGTAGTTATAAGTTCGATATAAATTAGTGTTCCTTTAGTTAAAATAAATCAGTTCGAAAATAAATAGTGTCGTGTTCGCTTCTGCACCCGAATAACGTAACAGTATTGAAAGAGGCGCAATAATAGATGGGTAATTTTTTGTTTTCCATCACCCTTTATATATGAACCTACTTCAAATATCACCCACAAACTTTACTGACCTATTTTATCAACCATCTTAGAGAGGCCCATATTTCATTCCTTCAGTTTTCACAGGGAAAAAACACGACACCACACTACCAATCCACCGTAACTAGTGCCTTTAGGAAAATTTCACCAAAAATTCTTGGCACACGAAACGTAAACATCGACGTTCGAGTTTGGACTGATATGCAGCTAAAATTATAAATTAATCACAGTCCAGAGCACCGATTAGTCAGAAATGTTACGCAGACGAAAAAAACAGCAATTAAACGAGTTTAAAAACACACAAAAAACAACAAGGTGAAATGGAACAATCAGAAATAAGACAATAATAATTTATTGACAATGCAATGAGAAATGCTAATCATATACGAGCTAGTTCAGTTACTTGGTTTGGACTTTTTACCTGTTTTTTTTATCGACTGATTATACTGTGTATACAGGGTGACATAGGAGAAAGTACATTGCATAGTACCTTGACCGCAAGGCCTTCGGTTAAAAGATACAGGGGTAAAACTGCATTTAGCATGCGATGGGTTTTTTTTCGAAAATTTTTTTTGGTACTTACGTATTTTTGTCTGAAAAACACGAATTTGATAATGAAAATGTGAACAAACCACTATTTATCGAGATATTTCAAAAAAAAGTTCGAAATTTCGACTCCTTTTTCCCTTGCGTTGGATGCATTTTCAGGTACTTGCTCTTCTTATTTTGTCATTGGACACTTTATATACTCATGATGTACTTCAATGACACATTTTTATACAGAAAATTCAACAGGAAATATGATTTTTATGGTGAGTTTTTCCTATTTAGTGAGCAAGCATACCAGATGACGGCCATTTTATCCATAGGCAATCCAAATACGAGATGTCAAATGTCAGTAGATTGCTTTGGAATGACATTACACACGCCATTATTTCAAATGATATTCTTCCTTCTTTTCAATAAATATGGATAAATCACAAGAAAATCATATTTCTAGTTGACTCAATAATAGAAAAAAATGTGTCTTACATTGTGATATATATAAATTGTCCAATGATGAAAAAAGAAGGGTGAATTGTTTGAAATTCAATCCAGAAGACAGGCGGAAAAGAAGGTGAAATTTGAAACTTTATAGTGAAATATCTTGATAAATAATGGTTTGTTCACATTTTCATTATCAAATTCGTGTTTTTCAGACAAAAATACGTAAGTACCAAAAAAAATTTTCGAAAAAAAACCCATCGCATGCTAAATGCAGTTTTACCGATACAGGGTGTATGTATGTAGCGCCCTCTATCAGTAATCACAGAACTAAGATTATATTTGAATTTAGCATGAAAAACCCCTTTATACCACAGTTTATCCATTCCTTGCGTCTCTGACTGTCGTGGAGATGACTTTGTGTATTATTTAGTGTTTACTACTACACTCTACTTTGAGAAATGTTGGACT